GCATGGGTATCCTGGCCATGGGAAAAAGGACTTCCTTAGATTGCAGGCATTGAAATTGGCTTTCTCAGGCTGACAGTCAGTTCAGATGTGTTTCCTGCAAAGCTCTGCAGAAGGTGGCACCCTCTCTTTGGGGCTGGGCACTTTGGTTGATACCTCCAGCTCCTGCCCAGAACACCTTGAGTAAGTGCTCAGCATAGGGACCATCTTCCTGCATGTCTTTAGGAGGAGAGCTGGGGCCATCTGAATCCATGCTCAGTCAGCTGAGAAGGGAAGGGATGGCTGGAGGACAGGAAGAAAGAAATTCTGAGCACCCATCTTCTGCTGCAGCACGGCAGACTCAGCATCTGCCAGAAACCCTGGTAGAGACCAGTGCCCTTCCTGTCATTTGGACCCTGACCAAGACCACCAATTTTTTTTTTAAATTTTTTTTAAGCTGAAAGTAGTTGAAGTAGCTACATAAATCCCACACCCCTGAAGGAATGGCTGTGGAGTCTGTCTACATAAAACAAGCAAGAGAAATATTATTTCATCAACAAAGTACTAAGGATGTGTTTTGAATCCTCACATCATGAGCTAATTACCAGATGGGCTGAGTACTGCAAAAGAAACAGCTCTGATAGATAAACATCAAAAAGGATGATTCAAAAAGCCATCTGAAATGCATTTGGTCTCCTTGCTCACACAAACGACCTTTACATTTTTTTGCATCACTGTACTTTTTGCTCTGTTAGTTTTCCTCAGTTTTTTTGCAGTGTCGTTTGCTAGGGTGGGAGCACAACAGTGCCATTTCAAAGGAGAACCTTTGCTTGGTCTCTCCCAGTGCCTTGTGCTAGGGTGGGAGTGGGACCCTGCCTTCACAGGGACCTGCTTGGGGCTGGAGCCACCAGGGAGAAAGCTGGGCTTGCTGATGTTGGGAGCTCTGCAGCAGGGCCCTGGCAGCTGTGAACTCATGCAAATTTTTAAGGAGCAGTGAAGGGGATTGGCAAACTGATACACATGAGGCTGATGGCAAGGGACAGGCAACCCAGGTGTAAAAGGCACATTGTTCTCATTAGGCACAAGGAAGAGAGCGAGCAGAGTCAAACCATGAAAACGTGACAATTTTTGTCCTCTGGATGCCCCTTTACCACAGACTTAAGTAATGCACTTTGTTTATTTGGCCAGCAAAACAATTGGTAGATAGAAGCATTCCTTGAGGTTTTTTTTCTCATCTAACTATTTGTTCTTTAATCTGTTTTCTTTTCCTCTTTTTCCTTCCCCTTTGAATAACAAGGTCAAAAGCAGTTTCATCTGTATTTCTGCTCATCTCTAAAAAGTCGTCAGCAGTGAGCACACTGTTTGTGCTCAGCTGATGGTGAGTTTAGTCTATGGATTAAGAATAAAACCAAATGAAAGCACTTTTTCATATCCCATTTGCCTTTTTGCAGGCCAGGCAACATGGTGTTGTATCAATCTTAGACTATCTGAAATTCATCCTTATTTTGTGACAGTTTTTGAGGGAGAGTATCTTTAGAAGGGTAGGATCCTCCCTTGAAAAGGAGGAAGGTAACACCCAATTTTTGTCCTAACCTTCCATGTGCTTGCTTTTGAAATACAATGAGTTTTATAGCTGGCCTTCTCATTTCTCTCTCTGATTCCTCCACCCCCCACCCAGCCTTCCCACCTCTCCCCAGCACTGATTAAAACAGGGAGAATTTTACAGCTGGATGACTATGTAGTGAATACAGTGTCTTGACCTCCAAAGTTTAGCCTCTCTACAATGTATTTAGCAATGTCAACTGAAAGGGTTCATTAATATTTTACTGCATTACCTCACTCTTGCTGCCACAACATCAAAAATGTGCTTTCCCTGAATGTTTGCTACAGGAGTCTGATGGTCACGTCGTCATGAGCCGTCTGTGTCTGTTGGCAGCTCCCTCTCCCACCCCAGCACGGGCTGCAGGAGGCAGTGACTTCAAAAATTAATGACAGCTAATATGGCAGTCCTGCGTGATTTAAAAAGGAGACACACGTACACACACAGTTGAGCTTCTTCATGACCTGTGAAAGCATCAAACTCCTCACGGTAAGACCAGATTCCCTCTGAAAAATGATACTGTCTTATCAAAGCCTTTGAAGGAGGTTTGGGTTGCAGTCACAGAGCTGAGAGCTTTATGCTAGCAGGAGATCCTCATGCATTCAGTTGTGGTACCCCATGCCTAGTGGTGCCAAAGGCAATGAGAAAGGGGCAGGAGAAGGAAATGAAAGGACTATGGGTGATGTTACCAATGAGTGGAGGCAGGAAGAGACGGTCATAATACATCTGAGCTCTGTGGGTGATGTGTGTCCCTTCAGATAACCCACCCTGGCTTGGACTTATGATCTGGTAAGTTCAGAGCTTGGGCAGGGATAGGGTTGGGATTTTCATTTTATGCATTTTGCTGGTCACAAGCTTATAAATCATTTCTGCATATTGAGGCGGGAGAAAGATGGTTTCCTTCACGTGTGAATAATCCTCGTTACTCTTGAGAGAGGAAAGTCTGCAGGTGTCCTGGTCATTGGCCATTATTCAACTAATCTTTTCCATAGCAAAATATTATTTTAATTAGAGCTGTTTTAATAACAGCTCTAAATAGCAATCAGTGGCACTGACCTTGGGAAGTGCCTGTCAGGCCAGGAGAGGCAAGGGAAGGTACCTGCTGACTGCTTGCATGGCTTCCTAGTCATGCAACACATCCCTCAGGCGATCTTGAAGCTGTGTTGTGAATGATTTCTTATACCATGGACTTTATCAAGTCGAAAAATAGGATTGAAGGAGTTCCCTTATTCATAGGAGTCTCACTGAATGATCCTGAATACAATTTCTCCTCCACACCTTTTTCTGCTCTCCTGCACCTTAATTCTTAATGTGCCCTACAAAAACGTGTAGGAGAAGCCCTTCAGCACTGTGGGGCAGGGTTGTACTGCACTCATAGCTTCTGCTCCCTTGGCAGCTAAACTGGGAACCTGCCTTTCCTGTTGCATGCTCACAGGTTGCTTTGCTCTTGCCTTCCCCAAGCTTTTAATAAAGCATTAGATTTCCTCTGTTTTCCTCCCTCTCAAGAAAGAAACAACAATAAAAAAATTATCTAAAACAGCCCATATGCACTCAGGGTAGAAACCCTGTTTAAATACCAGAGGCTGCCATGCAGAGCAGCAGCAGTTTTGCTCTCACAGCGTCGCCCTGGGATGAGCCAGTTTAGGGAGGCAGGGAAAACTGCGACCGCTTTGCAGAAACACAAACACCGGGAGTGAACGAGCTGCCGTGTCACATGGGCAAGTGGGATTTCTGGGACGCCTGGTGTGACCGTGTCTTCTCACAGCAGCCCTCCTCGCACCCACTTACTTACAAACCAACACCACCGCCTGCATGAGCACACACGGGTTTCTAAATCGAGCTGAGGGAAACATGCTGCGGCTGAAATCTGCTTCTCCTCCTGCTGTCTGCAGTTATGTCAGGGCCATCCACGGGCTTTACGAGGGAGTAAATGCATTCAGAGGCTGGGGAAGGAAACCAGCAGGTTTCTTTGTTCCCTCGGGTCCAGGGGAACAAGCGCTGGTGGTGTTTCTGCTATCTTGTAGTAAAGGAAAAAAGTAAAGAGCTGAGGGTTTTTGTTTTGTGTCTTGGAATGGCTAAAAATAAAGGAGTGGCCAGTATAAATGTTACATTTTAGGTACGTGTCAATTTAAACCACCTCTGGGGAACGTAGGCTTAGCTTTTGCCTGGAGAAGCCTGCCTAGATATTGCTCCTACCATGAAAATGAAATTCAATCCTGAATTCCATAAGAAAATCCCTTTGATAAGTGAAGTTTTGTTGTTTTGTTTTGTTTTGTTTTGTTTTAGTGGAAATCAGAGAAAAGAGAGAAAATTAATTGAAACTCCTGGTTCTCTTTGAAGGCACCGGCAACACAAGTCTAATGCTGATGTGTTACCACACAGAGGTAGGTGAACGTAGGCAATACTATGGCTGGGATCTGCTCCTGCCCCAGCCTTGCCCCTGTCCCACCCCCTGGCACCAGGACAGGGTCAGGCTGTCAGTCCTGAGTGAGACACAGCTGCTTCTCAGGGCTCAGCCCCTCAGTTTTTGGTGAACTTCTTGGCTTTTATTGTGAACGCAGGCTGCTATCGAGGCACCTCTTGGAGCTGAAGTCCAAGTCAATTTGTGGCTGTGGCCCCAGGCGGTGGGTCCCTGCTGCGGGGCCCTGGAAGCCCATCCTGCACCTTCACCTTCCACAGCTCACTGGAACGTGAGCACTTTGATTTTAAACTGTGTCTCTTTAAACAGTGTTACCAGGTAAGCGCTGGAAATGGGCTATGACTGAAACATCAATGAATATGGCATCCCCTCCTTCGCCATGCCATTTTCCTCATCTCTGAAAAAAAACAGTCTATTTGAAACAGCAGAAAAATCTTCATTGAATTTGCAGTCAGTTCCCTGTCACCTTACAGTTAGTTTATAAAATGTCCACAGGCTTTGCACGGATGTCCCTGCTCTGCCTTGCCTGTTAGTGCAGTGCTGCAGAGGTCAGCTGGACCCCATGTTCAACAACAGGGGTCACTGAGGGAAAGGCAGGGTGATGCTCGCCACTGCCACGCGGCTGCTGCAAGAACTGTTGTAGCCAAAACACGATTTCCACAATGTAGTGGAAAAATGAAATCTCAGCACTGTGAGTGAGTCAGGGCTGCCAAACCTGAGGCTACAAAAAACTGGATCATCTTCAGTTTTGTGCTTAACGCTGCAGGAACCACCTGGGTTTGCTAGGAGTGGGACAGCATGAGAACGTGTTTTCTGTCAGCATGGTGCTGACAGCCATGATGGCCTTTTGCCCCTCTGGCTAATGAGTGCTGCCTCTCAGAGAGGTGACGTACCACCTCACCTTTTACTTCACCAGAAAACTGTGTTTTTTAAAAAAAAAAAAAAAAAAAAGCACAGCTGCTTCAGTTTAAAAGGCCAATTTATGGGAAGGTGGGGAAACAGAAAGCAGCATTCAGCTCTGGATCACATTCAGCTGTGTGCCCTTTTCCTTCATAGGAGAAAGAAGCTGAGGCGGGAACTGCTGAGGTCCATTTTCAGGTAATGTAGTTATTATTTCTTTCTTTATCTACTTCCAAGAGAGAATAGTAATTGGAGACATCTTGGTGTGGTAACAGTTCACAGAGAATTATGGCTACTGTGTAGAAGAATCAGAAATGGGATATAAAGAGAGCAGCCACAGGTGTGTGGTGTATGGCAAAAGTGGGTGGAAGCTGCAAGCACTCACCTAGGAGTAGACTGCAGGGACAATCCCCTGCTTTGGCATCTTATTTCATGTAAGAGAGAAGGCTGATCTCGGCAACAGCGGCGCTGGGTGGTTGCTGTTGTCCTGATGCAGCACCTCAGTGACATTTGCTGAAAAAAGCCACTGGGTGCTTTCCAGGCAGGAGCAGCTCCTTGGGAGCTCAAGGATTTTGGAGAGAGCACCACAGGAATAAGATAAAGTCCCTTCATAGTCTTCTGGCTCTCATGTAAAGTAAAGCTCTGGCATAAAAGTGGTTGTCAAGCTCTCAGGAAATGCTCCAAACGCTTCTTGGACTGGGTAGTCACCCAGTTTGTGAAGAACTCAAAGTAAGCGTGCCAGCATTAGAGCTCCTCAGACTTGACATCTTTCCTCCATGCCTGGGTTCAGAGTCCAGGAAGGCTGGACGCTCTTCAAGAGAGAAATCCTAAAGGCCCAGGAGCAGGCTGTCCCCATGAGGTGTAAAATTAAAGGCCGGGGAAAATGGCCGGCCTGGATGAACAAAGAGCTCTTGATGGGACTTAAGGAAAAAAGGAAGGTTTACCACCTTTGGAAGAGGGGACAGGCAGCTCAGGAGGAGTACAGAGATCTGGTTAGGACATACAGAGAAAAAATCAGGAAGGCAAAATCCCAGCTGGAACTCAACCTGGCGACTAATATAAGGGACAATAAAAAAAGTTTCTATAAATACATTAACAAAAAGAGAGTCACAGAGAATGTGACTGAGCATCCTTTACTGGATATAGGGGGAAACCTTGCAACCAAGGACGAGGAGAAGGCTGAGATAATTAATGCCACCTTTGCCTCTGCCTTTAATAATCAGACCAGGTACTCCCAGGTTATTCAGCTTCTTGGGCTGGAAGATAAGAATGGAGAACAGAACAACTCCCCTGTAATCCAGGAGGAAGTAGTTAATGATTTGCTTATGCACCTGGACACGCATAAGTCTATGGGGCCGGATGGGATTCACCCAAAGGTTCTCAGGGAGCTGGCAGGAGAGCTCACCAAGCCTCTCTCCATTATCTATCAACAATCCTGGTCAACAGGAGAGGTGCCAGATGACTGGAGGGTGGCCAATGTGATGCCCATCTACAAGAAGGGCCGGAGGGATGATCCTGGAAACTACAGGCCTATCAGCCTGACCTTGGTACCAGGAAAGATCATGGAGAGGATCGTCCTGAGTGAGCTCTTAAGGCAAGTGCAGGGCAGCCAAGGGATCAGGGCCAGCCAGCATGGGTTTATGAAAGGGAGGTCCTGCCTAACCAAATTGATCTCTTTCTATGACCATGTGACCTGCTTTCTCGATGAGGGGAAGGCTGTGGATGTTGTCTACCTGGACTTTGGTAAGGCCTTCGACACTGTCCCCCACGGCGTTCTCCTGGAGAAACTAGAGAATCATGGCATAGACAAGTGTACCCTCCGCTGGATAAAAAACTGGCTGGATGACCGTACCCAGAGAGTTGTGATTAATGGAGTAAAATCTGGTTGGTGACCAGTCACCAGTGGTGTCCCTCAGGGCTCAGTTTTGGAGCCAGTTTTGTTCGATATCTTTATTGATGATCTAGACAAGGGGGATTGAATGTACCCTCAGTAAGTTTGCAGATGACACCAAACTAGGTGGGAGTGTTGATCTGCTTGAGGGTCAGAAGGCTATACAGAGGGATCTAGACAGGTTGGATCATTGGGCCAAGGCCAGTGGGATGAGGTCTAATAAGGCCAAGTGCCGGGTCCTGCATTTTGGTCACAACAACCCCGGGCAACGCTACAGGCTTGAGGAAGAGTGGCTGGAAAGCTGCCCAGCAGAAAAGAACCTGTAAGTGTTAGTGGACAGCCGGCTGCACATGAGCCAGCAGTGTGCCGAGGTGGCCAAGAAGGCCAATGGCATCCTGGCCTGTATCAGGAATAGTGTGGCCAGCAGGAGTAGGGAAGTCAACGTGCCTCTGTACTCGGCACTGGTGAGGCCTCACCTCGAGTACTGTGTTCAGTTTTGGGCCCCTCACTACAGGAAGGACATTGAAGTGCTGGAGCGTGTCCAGAGGAGAGCCACCAAGCTGGTGAGGGGTCTGAACAAGTCCTATGAGGAGAGGCTGAGGGAACTGGGCATGTTTAGTTTGGAGAAGAGGCGGCTGAGGGGAGACCTCATTGCCCTCTACAACTACCTGAAAGGAGAGTGTAGAGAGGCAGGGGTTGGCCTCTTCTCCCAATGGACGAACGACAAGACCAGAGGAAATGGTCTGAAGCTGCGGCAAGGGAGGTTCAGATTAGATATTAGGAAGAATTACTTTACTGAAAGAGTGGTCAGGCACTGGAACAGACTGCCCAGGGAGGTGGTGGAGTCACCATCCCTGGAGGTATTTAAGAAACGCGTAGATGTGGCTCTTCAGGGCATGCTCTAGTGCTCAAGATTATTGGTTTGTGGTAGGGTGTTGTGTGTGGGGTTGTGGGTGTGGGGTTTAGTTGGTGGGTGGTGTTTTGGGGTTTGTTGGGTGGTTTTTTTTGTTTGTTTGTTTTTTTAATGTGGTTGGACTCGATGATCTCGGAGGTCCCTTCCAACCACTAAGATTCTGTGATTCTGTTTCCATCTTGGACCTTGAAATGGGCCATACCACCATTTCCTGAAGAAGCATGGCAGCACCTGGAAAGTGATCTTCCTGCCAGCTAAACAGAAGAACTGTACTCCCTGGTAAATGTGTGCATCAGGCTGGTTGTACTTGTTAATATGTGGTAACCATAAGGTGATCTGGATTTTGCAAGTTTCTCCGTTAGTTCAGCCTCACAGCCATGGTTAACTGCTATCTAGCTCGCTGCATCAAGGTCGAGGGCATAGAAATGCCTGGTGGACAGGTCATTTCCAGAGTGGCCCTCTGATGAGGGCATCAGAGCTGAGGGGCTGCAGATCCTGCTTACTGGACACTTTAAACACACAGTGGCTTCCTGAGCAGAAATGGCAAGTTGCCATGCTACAAATCTGAGAGAAGGAAATCCAAATGGATATGGAGGAAACTTCTGTTCACCTTGAGGGTAAATAAGCACTGGGAAAGACTGAAGGGCTTGTGACACTGCGATCTTGGGAGACTTCCAGACCACAACTGGACAAGTCTTGGAGCAAAGTGATCTTATGTTGAAGTTTGTCCTTCTCTAACAATACTAATGGTCACAAAAGCATAGGTTCAGCACTCTGGCTCTCCATGGTACGAGGGTGGGTTTTGTGGGCTATCAGTACAGTTCAGCTCCATAAAGAAACAATTTTGAGATTTCTTTTCACAACAGCTGTGGCCTAGAATAGCAAAACGCCTTTTATGACAATTCCGCAGATATGAAATTTGTTACTGCTGACACCAACAAATGCAATAGAATAGAATGGAAAACAGAACAGAACTGTTTCAGTTGGAAGGAACCTATAACGATCCTCTAGTCCAACTGCCTGACTGCCTCAGAACTGTTCAAAAGTTAAAGGATGTTATTAAAGGCATTGTCCAAATTCCTCTTAAACACTGATAGGCTTGGGGCATTGACCACTTCTCTAGGACACCTGTTCCAGTGTTTCACTACCCTCTCCGTAAAGAAATGCTTCCTAATGTCCCGTCTAAACCTCCCCTGGTGCAGCTTTGAACCTGCAGCTTCTTTAGAAACATTAAAAAAAAATCAAGTCCTGTAAGGAAAGTAAAAACACTGACGCTTATAAAACAAAGCTGACTTTATTATGAGACTGTTTCTTCTTTTCTTACCTAGGCTTATTCCATTGAAGATCTGCTCCTGTATTGAACAAAACAAGAAGGTGTTCTAAAACCTGGGAAAATGACCACATGGATCTACTTCGTTTAAGTTTGACCTGGTAAGCTTCTAAAAGGCCATTTAATCTTATCCATCCAATTCAGTCCATTTGTATAGGTAAGGGTTTATGTTATCATCCTGTGAGCCATAATTTCTTGATTACAAGGGTGGAAGAAGGAAAACAGGCCCTATATCTGGCAGTGCTTAGCTCTGAAAAACTGGACACAGGGGCTTACTGAGGCGTAGTTCAAAGTATTTCTGTGTAACTGTACTGTTGCTTTGGACCTGATGACTTTATTCTGATATTTTGGAGGTGGTTGTTACAGCAGCCAATACACTGTCTTTGGTAAGCTACAGCGTCTCTGGCAGAATCCTAAAATATTGGCATAACTGAGGTTTTAAGGGGCCTCAGGAGGCTTCAGGTCAAACCCCCATGCAAAGCATGGCCAGTTACAACAGGCTGCTCAGGGCCTTTCCAGTCAAGTTCTGAAAAACTCCAATGCTGAAGATCCCACAGCTGCTCTGGGTGCTTTCTCCAGTGTTTGACTACTCTGGTGAAACCAATTTTCCCTCTATTTAATCAGCATCTCCCTTGTTGCAACTTGTGTTTGTTGCCTCTTGATCTATTGTTGTGCAGTGCTGCAGAGTTTTGCTCCACCTTTTCTGTACCTCGCCATCAGGCAGCTGCAGGCACCAGTAAGCTCTCCCCTTGGACTTCTTTTTAAGGCTGAACAAGCCCAGCTCCCTCAGCCCCTCCTCACTCATCTTGTCCTCCAGCCCTCTGCCAGATTCACTGCAGTATGTCAGTGACTTTCTTGCACTAGAGACCCCAAACCTGTACGGTCTCTAGATGAGGCCTCACAAGTGCTGGATACAGTGGACTAGTAAATTCCCTTCCAGCTGTGCTTTTGTAAATGCAGCTCAGTATGCTGTTGGTTTTCTTTGCCTCGAGGGCACACTGCTGATATACACCCAATTCTCACTCCCCGCCCTGTCTCCTTTTATTGTAAAGCTTTTCCCAACCCACCCACCTAGTCTGAATTGCTGAGTGGGGTTAGTCTGCCTCAGATCCAGAACTTCATGAAGTATCTGGCAGCTCATTTCTGCAGCATCTTGAGGTCCAGCTTGAAACGCATTCCTGCCCTCCTTGTAACAACCCCATGCCTCAGGAGGGCAGTTGACAAACTTAAATTATCACAAACACCCCCAGAACCAGATTTGGCGTGGTCCACAAACTTGCTGAAAATGCACTCTGTTGTGTCCTCCAGGTTGTTAATAGAAACATTAGATGGTACTGGCCCCAATATTGGTTCCCTAAAGGATGCCACCAAAAACTGGCTGGCAGTTCAACTTTATCTGGATGGCTGGGGTCAAAGGCTGGTCATCATCAGTACACTTTTCACCTGTTGTAGTTAGTTAGCCAGTTCATGTAATCAATTTGTCTGTATGTTGTTTTAAAAAAAAATAAATAAAAAAAGCAACAGAAGAATTCTTTTATTTTCAAAGTTTGATCAATCCATGAAAGAAAGAGCAGCACATTTCTTCAAAGCCCAAATAACTGTACAGCTCATTCTGCAGATAGATTTTTCTCACCAGAAAGGAAGTGCCTGTTAAAGAGAAGGAACCAGGAAGGGAGCCAGGACCACCTGCGGCCAGCATGGTTCTGCTGGCCTTTAGAAACACATTACACCCTTCACACTTCTCCTTCCAGTGTTGCTCTCCTTAAAATCATTGAACACCCAGGTGAGGATCCATCTAACCATAAAGGACATTTTAGCATCCCCACTGGATCCCATGTCAGGGCTGCCCTGTATATTTTGATTTTTATTCACAGGTCCAAAGGAAGAAATGGAGCAAAACTCTCCACCAGGGAATGCTGCCTGGCTGTATGAGCAGCCACCTTTCCATTACACTTTGGAGGAAATCAGGTTGTCTTCCAGTGAGTTCCAGTCACCAAATGATTTTATTGTTACACTATGACGAAGCAATTTTTATTTTGTGCACTTCATGGTGCTCAAAATGTTAGTTTTCACAGTATAGAATGGATGTGACAGCATTTGTCATGGAAGCACTCAGCAGAGTATGTTGCAACGTCATTTAGTTGTGCTGTTTTATGAAGTTTTGCAATAAAATGTGCCAGCAAATTATGTTGTATTAGTTTCTTTCTGGTGATTAACTAATCATTCATATAATAAATAGCAGCTAACTACAAGAAATAGATTTATTTGTCACAGAGTTAGAAGAATGTCAAACTTTTCCCATTTCATGTAAAAAGGCAGAGGAAAAAATACTTCTAAAATTACTTTGCAACATGTGCTTTATTTTAAGTCATTACTGAATCAAAACTACACAGTATACCCTTTTAACATACCCTACCCACTCAATGCTTTTTTTTCTCAATAATTTTTTTAACATGGAACGAAACCTACATTGCAATTGTAAATTTTCATGCTACAATGTTCTCTAATGAGCCATTTCTGTCACTAATAATAGTCATTTAAGAAAAAGGCCATTTTTCAAGCTCATATGTATGTCTATATTTGGGAACTTAAAAAAAACCCGTCTCGGATGTAAAAATGTGACTTGGAATATGTAAACATTTTTGTATACCTGAAACACTGGAAGAAGAATATCAGCTAACAGCAAAACAACGCTTGCCTTAAATCATCGAAATGGGAAAAAGCATGTCATGGGGAGCAGAGAGAAGCACACTATTCAGTCTTTAAAGGGTTATAAGAAATGAAGTAGCTCCTTAGGTCATTGAATTCACTTTCTTTTCTCATCTAATGGAAAGCAGTAAATTTGAAGAGAATGGCCCAGCAGAACACCCCAATAATTCACCATAATTATTCTAGCCATTAGTTAACCTTGACGAACTGTCAAGTTTCAGTTGCTTTTTTTTTTTTTTCCTGAGAAAAGTCCTTGATGTTTGGTGGAAATGTCTTCTGTGACTGTAAAAATAAAATAAGGCATTTAAAGAGATTGTTACTTATTTTCTTTTTGCTAACAGAGGCTTGTCCACAGTGTCCTTTGTACATCAAAACCTCTGCTTTTCTACAAATGGGTATGGCTAGAATGTCTTCAGTTCCCACTGTGGCCCTGGGTCTTGGGTGTCCTGAAGGCTAGTCAGCGTCCCATTACTGTAGCTTGAAAGTCAGTGATGTACAACAGCATATTGCACAATCCAATCTGTACGGCTCCAGAAAGGGTTAAGAAGATACACTGGAGTCATCTGTGGGTTTACTCCTTTCTTTTCTCAAGTTGTGATGATCATCTGGAAAACTAAATTAGCCAGACAAAGATGCAAACTTTATGTTGATTAAATTACAAAGCAGTCCCCAGACTGTAGAGGAGTGGCACATTAAAAACAACAAATCATCCAACCTTCTTCACTGTTGATCCTTAATTTGAAAGGCAGCATGGATTCCTAAGGCCGTAGCTTCCAGGACTCCTTCAGTGAAAAACATTGCTACCTAACTAGAAAAGGCTTAGCTCTTAAGAGAATATTGTGCTTTTTTTTTTTTTTTTTCCTTTAAAATTCAGATGAAATCAACTTGATTCGCAGTGTGACACCAAAGAGATCAATTAGTTTTTTCCCTAGTCCACTTGATCATAGTCTCTGGTGAGCGATACAGGAATATTAGTTTGGCATACAGGTCTTCTTCTAGTTCCAGTTCTCCAGTCTCCCGCACTAAGAAAATATCAGTACACAACTTCAAGATTCGGTCCACATTGGGTAGCTCCTCAAACATGATGGAGTGAGAGATCCCACTGAAAAATTCTCGGACGAACTTCCCCACCACCAGGACAACCGAGGCATATAGTCCCATGATGCTGGAAAGAAAGAAAGGAAAGAATTCAAATCATGTCTTGAAAAAGGGTCAGCCAAGTGTAAGGGAGCTCATCTACAGGGCTAAGTGTAGTCTGTTAGCTGAGTGAACATTAATTGCTGAATAGGATCTTCTTTCTGCTGTGCTGCAGGAATAAGGAAAATAAGGTCCCTTCAAACACCACAGAAATCTGGGAACACAAACAGGTGAGGCTCATGGCCTGTCTGCTACAGCTTGGAAGTCACAGTGGGAAATCTAGCAACTGCTGGCTGCTCAAGGCAAATATCTGTCAGCTTTCATATCTAATATTTTTTATTAAAGTACATGTAACTGGTGACAAACTGATGTTTGCCTGTACTCCTCTAATAATCCTTCTATGAGGAGTTCTCCAAAACCATGCCAGAAGGGCATATCTCCTGGGACGGCACAGTCTCCTGCCTTCCTCTGTCTATGGAGATGTTATTCCATAGACATCTCCACAACCGTTTCACTCCTAGGGTCCTGGCTGTGAGATTGGGAAGGCTGCCAAAACTGGGTGGAGTTTGGGCAGAACTTGACCTGTAGCTAAACTAACATCTTTTGAACGATTTTACTTCAATAGGAAATTGGTGTGAAGGGTGCTTCTGCCTTCTCTCCCACTGGAGAGCAGGTATCAAGATTAACACCATTCGTTACAAATATAAAGCCTTCTATAATAACATTATTAGACATGAGTTCGAGAATCTCACAAAACCCCATTTCAAAATGTTGTAATGTTTAAACACTGCAACAACAACAAAAAAAATAAAATCCCCAAACCAGCAAATAAAGTCACCGCTACGTCTATCTTATCTATGTTATTTTAATTTTACATAAAGATTCCTTCTTACCCGTAACCAGCCAAGAATCCAAGGCTTGGTGGACTGACTTTATCACTGAACACGAAGAGCTCGAGACTCTCTTCAGACGTTTTGTATCTTTTTCCAAGCTGATTCAAAACCCACCACTCACGAACTCCCTCTTCAGACACATTTTTGACCAGGGAAACTGTAATGTTTTCCCATCTGCAGTCTATTGAAAAAAACAAATGTTAATATATATACCAAGAATTGCAAAAGGCAAACTGCTTTGAGTCAGATACTTCAAACATCTGCATGATAAAATGACTGAGTAAAAGTTCGTTATAATTCTCCTAAAACCTATTTTACATTATTTCTGTACAAAAGTATAATATCTAGACTTCTCTTTTTTCCTTCTGCAAATCTCATCTGAATATGGATTAAATAAATAAAATGTTTTATATCATCTACATTTCCTTCTGTGTAACTGTCAAATCATTTTAATACTTTCAGGCCAAAGTATCAACGACAGTCAGCACTTCTGCATCTCAGGCCTAAAGAAACACATTTAACCTGAAGGGATAGTGGTCAACTTCCATATGTCAAATTGAAACTATCACTGTAGATCACTGATGTCTTGGTATAAAAGGTGTTATTCTTTTATATTAAGAAAAGTATACTATCCTATTATGCATACTGATCACAGAGACAGGAGGTGAACTCTTGCCCTTCTGATTTCTGGGGAATGCACATTAGCAATGTATACATTAAAGCCCTTTTGAAGAATCTCAAATTGAAAGTTCGTTACGACAGGACCTGACTAATGACAGTGAAGCACTCATAACTCATTGCTACTCATAGAGCTAGGGTCAGCCTCAAGAATTATTTTTCCCAATTAATCTAATCATGCTCACTGAACCTTGAACAGTCCATGTATTACATAATACTACTACTATGTCCAAGCACCAAATTTAACCGCTGTTGAGGAAAGTATTCTTAGATAAAGACTTGTTCCTACTCTTCCAACCCTACAGGTTTTTCACGTGCATGTATTCTCTGTGTCTGTGAGTACCTGTATGCATTCTGGTGGGGTAACAGCACTCTGAAATTCAATGATTTATCTAAACTGGATTCCTTGTAGCCAATAAGGAATAGCAAAAAAATTAAATCATTCCGTGTCATTATTTAAGATGAGGAGCATTTGCAGACATTCAGCACTACTGACTGTGGTAAGGCAGCAGGGAGATGCAGAGATGTGAAACTTGTCATCACTTCCTCAGAAAACAAAGGAAAGCAGTTCCTGAAATCAGACTTGAAGGAAAGGAGCTGGATTTAATCTTTAGAGTCCTTACTGTTAAATACAAACCTAAAATACATCCAGATGCCTTTTCTGCCTTATTCTGTATTACCTCATCTCTCCCCTAGCTTACAGGCACCAAGCAGAAACCATTGTAAGTGCATTTCAGTGTGAGGTGCCCTATAACAGCTCTGTGAATGTGCAAGTGTGCTGTGTTGTACTTCTGTCAACCATACTCTCTTTACCATGGTCTGGACACTTACCTGTCAATAGCTGCTTTATGGGTTTTGCCAGAGAATCACTAGGAGCTCTGATGTAGTATGGGTACACTTTCTCTAATGTTCTGGAAAAAATGAGAAAGCAAATATTTCATATTTTTATACCTCTAAAATAATTTAGAAATACCTAACAGGGATACACACAGTTCCCAGTAATTCTTGGCTTAAGCTATGACTTTATAGTGTTCAGATGTCACATCTGAAAGTTAGCTGGATTTATTAACTATGTTCTGTCAGTACTTCAGCAGGGAGCTCCATCCATAATGTCGCCATTCACATGCCATGAATCCCACACACCTGGGGCATGTGTGTTTGCAAGGAATGTAGACTTTATATTTTGTTCCCCTTTTTAACAAAGAAGCTTTTATAGTCAGCCATATAAGCAGCACAAAGCAAGGCAACACATCACCAGTAGTAAACAAGCTAGAAAAATATGTAGCTAGAAAAATATGTGGTGAGAACAGTTATTACTTCAGAATTGCAAGATGTTTCAATAATAACACCTTAAAAGAGTGAGAATTTTTGCCAGAATCTTTCAGTGGGAAATATTTCCACAGTTTGTGGGAGGATTTCAAACTTAAAAAGAAAGATATTTGTAAAAGTTCTTCCATTGGACTCAAAATTAAATCACCTTAAGTGGAGATAAATTACCAGCATCCCGAGAGAGAGATGTTTCACTAGAACTAGAGATACTGTCCTAACTTTTTTCCTTAAATGACTGAAAAATTCAAGGGAAGGGGAGCTCTCAGGGAAGTCCTGTGACACTTTACTACATTGTATACTCAAGGCTGAGGAAGAACAGAGGTGGCCCATTTAAAATCCCTCCCAGGAGGCCCAAAGGATGGTTAAGAG